AATACTAGGGATATTCTAGAAGAGTTAGTTCAGACTTTGCTCTATGCCCTAGATTATATGGCTTGCATTCCTACCAGTATATATGGCCATATGGCTGTGACATTTCCAAAAATGTTTAGTCAGTTTCTATTGAAAAATGTAACTGCACTTGAATACTTTTCTTTATTTGAGTTAAAAATAAGTATTTGCCTCCATTTTGAGCTGATGAGGAAGTTACAATTAGAGGGTGTGTAATTACAGTTATTTCAGAACTGTCAGTGGTTCCACTGTTAACAACTTGACATTTGTTTCCACCTTTATAGCTAAAATCGCTGATACTTGTATTATCTCCTGTGAGCCCCATAGTCTTTATTTTCCCCATGAGGAAACTGAGATTAAAGGAAGATCCAGAACCTAAAATAATAAAGACATGCTAACAGGAAAGTAAAGCTATTCTGGCCTGCTAAGAATAGGGTGAGAGAGAGAGAAAATGTTAATATAAGTAAATGAACAATTGAAAATCTGCTAACTAAATTGCATGCCACATATTATGCAAAACACATACAAAAAATAAAATAGGTGAATTTAACTACTATCATCAATTATAGAAAAGTAAATTTGAATTTTTTTCTAATGAGCTGATATGACCCTATTATTGACAGTAAAGTACATAGAAAATTTAGCAATAATTTCTAAACAGGTAGGTTACTCTGTTGTTTGCTTTTTAAAATGTAAAAAGATTAAAATTTAAATTAGGTGTTCCCAAAAAATTGCAATGGAATTTCTCATATTATATGAGTAAGCAGATATACAGAAGCTTAATTTCTCATTTTAAATCTGACTGCTGATCAGTAAAATTATGCTAAAAATAGAGGACTTCCTTATTGTCCCTCAAAGATGACTTTTTTTCTTGACATGAACCCCATTTGACCAACTGCTCAGAATTTTTCAATATGAGTCATATTGTATTGATTAATTTATTCCATGTGCTTACAGGGGAAAAAATACAAATTAGACTGGTGAGCAGCAAAATAGAGACAGTTTTTAAGAAACCTAAGTTGTATTAACCTGCAATCAAAAGTAATCTTCATTTTAATATTTATACATCTTTATATTTTTATGGACCTATTCTTAACATGGATTTTATTTTATTTGTTTCTCTCCTCCCTCACTTCTGTGACATGCAGAAGGGAAAGGGTGTTTGTTATTCACACATTTGTACCTCCACTAACTGGTGTTACACGTCTGGCTTCCACTGGAGAGCCCCTGACATCGCAGGGAACGGTGATCAAAATTCCACACACTAGCTTCATGCTGGGGGCTCGTAGCTACTGCAGCATTGAAGAGGGTCTTTTCCTGGCTTCTTTAAAATAAGCATGGTGATGGGATGGTTTAAGGGAAGAACACCTCTCAAATCACATGACCACTGCTACGCTTCTGTGTGTTCTGCTTTCTTCATAACAGCTTGGCACTACATTCTTTCCCTATATCTTAGCGGGCTTGTGTGTGTACAAGTGCGGTGAGGATTGGGGTGCGGGGTTGTCAGTGGATGATTTTACATCATGCATGCAACGTTCAATGTTAGAGTGATGTGCCTTTCCTTATGTGTCACAGATGATGGTCATAGATTAAGTCTTCTGTGTTCCTGAGAGACTGAGCCATCTCTCTTATTGGTGTGAGATTCATGTCTTCTAATGTTTACACCCTCAATTGTTCTTCATGTTGCATTTAACATAATTTGAAATGTTCTCCCATAAGAGTTAGCTATTCATGTTGGGCTGAAAAAGTCTTCATTTCTGTGTAGCAATTCATGTTATTATAACCTATGGCTTTCAATTGTACCTCCCATAATGAAGAGCTGACTTTAAACACTGTGCTATTCTTGTTATGACCTAAGCATAAGGTAAGTCACTTCTCTAACTGTATCTAAAGATTGTGGTTGCTTGTTAAAATTTTCTCTGCTTTGTTTAAAGCATTTTTACTTTTCCCCTTACCATTTATTACGTGCTCTTCCCCTTTTTGTTTTCTGTTTCATGGCATTAAGATTTGTTAATGGACAATGTAATCTTCAGCAAAGTTATATTACACATGTAAGCACATGTTGAAATGAATTATATGATGTCTGAAAGCAGTCTTATTAGTAAATGAATACCTATGTTTTCAGAAAGTCTCTTGTATATTTAATTTCTTCTGTTGACTTTAATATAATACACTGTTTCTACACATTATTTAAATTTTGATTCCAGTTGAAAGGGGACTTCATTGTCAACCTCAGAAAGTTAGATGTTAATCTAATAAAATAAAGTGTTAGATAACCCAATACCATACCTTTCATTTTTAATCCCTGACAAATTTGGTATTAGGCCAAAAATCTTGGTTTTATTTTGTTTTTCAAACTTTACTTTTTTCCATTGAATAAAAAGCCAGGATAAGATAAAGAAAAAAACCAGTAAACCATAAAACTTGAGATGGACCTGTGTTACCTTCTTTATAGTTCATGTGTGTGAAAATAAGAACAATAGTAGTTTCTCAACTTTATTCTTTCAAGTAAATTCCATTACATTTTGAATTAGGTAAAATCTTTATATTGGGATTTTATAAAATAAATTCATAAATATGACCAGTTTCATGGTGCAAGAGAGAGGGGTATCGCTACATGCATAAATGTTATTAAATTTTTTAAATCATTTTCCTCAATGTGTTTACATATATATCATTTTCCTCAATGTGTTTACATATATACTCAAGATCACTAAAGTTTGTGTAATTATTGATTTAAAAAATGATTTCCCTCAAATCTAGGTCAAATAACCGATGTAACATAAATGAAAAAACATTGGTTATATTGCTGTTGGCAATTTGTAAACCTAAATAAATAACTCTGATTCAGGGAATTGAATTGTTTTCATCATCTAAATTTCTTTTTCAAAACTGTTTGGGGAAAAAATGGTTTTAAAATGAGGTACCACAAAGCAAGACTTCAGTTTCTTTATTAAATTTATGCTATGACTGATTTTTTTTTTTAAGCCACCTAAGGAAGGGAAACAGTGTTCTTTTATTGTTGTTTTGGTTTAGGTTTGTTTTGTTTTGTTTTTTTGGTAAAGCCAGCTAGTTCTTCACCACCATTTCCATTTAGACCTTATATAAATCTGTTGAAACATTTGATGAGACTATTTAAACTACTCATTTGAACTACTCATCTGTACTGCTCTGTTCATTATAAATCTCTTGTTTCTATTCATACACTAGCTCCACTCTAGATTGGAAGGGCTTAAAGATGAACTCTGGAGGAATAGAGGCTACGACTTAAGAGTAACTATTACTGATCAAAGGAGCTGCTTTCCATTCGCAAACATTGCTTTGCGCTATGGGTTTGGGCTCCTTCTGTTTCTATATCTTGTTGAAGACTTTCTTGACTTCCATTTGACTTCTTTGAACTCTGTTTTTGTCTTTCAACATTTTCCCCTTTCTTTTTCTTCTTTTTCCCAGATTTTCTCTCACTCTTTAGCTTTCTCTTGTGTTCTTTGAACCGCTTTTTAAAATGTAGTTTATCTCTTTATTAAGCTTGTCTATTAATTTTTCTATTAGTATTTGTTTGTTTTCTCCTTTAAAGCTGTAGTGGTATAGTTACACTTATTTTCATTCCATGGTATTCCAACTTGCTTGTTTATCTTACAGCAAGTTCATTAGTCATTCTTACCCTCTTGGTATAAATTTTCAATAAGAAATAGCAGAATATTCTGCATTTACATATTGTCCCTTTCTATAAACCCATACTTAGACGTTTCTTTCTACTAGAGTTGTTACCCTCTCAAACCCCTCTCTTCTTTTATTTTCCTCACTCTTGTGTTTTCCTCACTGTATTGCTTTCTTTAAATAGTCATTAATTTATTTCCCATTTGGTCCAGAATTGTTTCTCAATAAAACTTCTGAGTAAAAGAATATAAGAAAACTGTTTTCAAGATTAGCGTCTTCATTCTAGTATATTTAAAATTAATTAAATAATCTGGGCCAAAAGAGAATAACTTTAACATCTGGAATTATTTTCCCTTTTTTTCCTTTTTTTGCTGTGTGTGTGTGTTTTTCTTGTGTTTATGTTTGTGATTTTTTTTTATTGTTGTTGTTTCTTTAAACATTAACAATTGTTTTTTTCAGGGAAGGACAACCATAACCCACCCTTAGTTGCAACATTCCTTTCATAAGTTGTTTCATTACAATAGTAGATTGTGTTAAGCGATAGAAATTAATTTGTTGTATATATATCCATTTGGGGCAAGCTCCTGTGGAATGGGAAGAAGAGGTGTGCAGTTTAAATACAATTTCCTCTGAAATTAACAAGTAGTAGTGCCATTCAATATGGCCCTTGAATTAAACAGTTTTGCATCATTTAAAAGAATGTTCTACTTTTACCTAAAATATTTTAATCAGCATAAATGTTTCTGATTGATAAACTATATACATCTAAGACTGGTAAATAAATGTATTCACATTCATTGATTTCAAACAGAACCGTTTTTTATAACTAATGTTAATAAATATAATAAATAACAAAAGTCATTGGAGTCACACATAAATATTGTATCTGAGGATTTTTTTTTCCTTATTTACATATATAACCAAAAATGACTACAATAGAACATTTGATTACAACTTTATTACTTGAATTACATTATTCTAGATATAGGCATAGTGCCTTAAGATTATGGGTCTGCATTCACAACTGAATATGTGGTAACTTGAATTTTTTTCCATATACTAATCTCAAATACACATCAATAAAAAATTGCCTTTGGTTTTTACCAGTGTCACATTTATCATAGTGTATTCCCATTTCTTTTTCTTTAAATCAGTTATTTAAAGTAAGGAAAGGAACAAATTTAACATATTTTTACTAATAAGTTATCTGAAATATATAAAACCTTTGCTCCTAGACTTCAGGAGCTTGCCCAGTAAGAATGCCATATATATCTGGCTATCTGTGTTATAAGCCCTAAATTACTGAGTTTATGCTTTCTCTGCAGGTCCAGTCCAGGTGCAGCAGCAAGGAGAACATTCTCAGAGCCAGTAAGTATGTCATTATTTCAGATGGACTACTGAATTAGAGCTTATGGTTCAATAGGAATGAGAGCTAAAAATGACATTTTTGTGGAAGAATGAAGAAAGTAATAGATAAGTTTTATATCAAGAATGTGAATATCAGGGCTTTTACCTTCTAAAATCAATATATGAATGGATATTTCCCTTATTCTAATTGTTTTTGCAAGCTAACAGCAAAACTTTGATAATACTCTTAGAGTAGTAATGAGTTCCTCTGTGATTCTAAGATGAGAGCCCTCTTTAATTACCCCACTGCCAAATAAGTCATTTAAAAACAGAATCTAGCCCTGGCCGGTTTGGCTCAGCGGTTAGAGCGTCGGCCTGCGGTCCAGAGAGACCCGGGTTCGGTTCCCGCTAAGGGCATGTACCTCGGTTGCAGTTTGTCCCCGGCCCTGGTTGGTCGTGCGGGTGGTAGCCACTCGATGTGTCCCTTTCATGTCGATGTTTCTCTCTCTCTCTCTTCCTCTCCCTCCCTCCCACTCTATCTGTACAAAAAATGGAAAAATGTCCTCGGGTGAGGATTAAAAAAAAAAAAAAAAAAATCTAGAAATAATAATAATATAAATTCACTAAAGGAATCTTAACTTTTTAAAAAGCGACTCCTAAAAGGGGTACATCATAATCATTTTGTGAATATGAATTCCTGAAAGATCTTACTTCACAGGCAGCATGTTTTAGAAATAGTACCCTGAACCATGGATGAAGAAACCTTTGTTTTATATTTTTGTTTGATTACTTATAACACTAACTTGGAAGTCATTTAACTGTGTATTATTCATTATTTGAATATAAAAAGGCACTATAAATAGATTTTTCTTACCTGTATCCTTGAAATGATGTGATATTGAAGGTTGTGCCTTAAAAGCTTTGGGATCCTAAGAGAAAAGTGCTGTATAAATGATAATTATTTTAATATTGTTTTCTTTCACGTAATATTAGTAATATCATCCTATCTTGTTCCTCTTCTTTATCAAGAGATTTACAGGTGGATCATACAAAAATGAGTCTATTGGATACTTATACCACTGAGACTTTTAGTAAATGGGATAACATATTTCCAGTAGAATGTGTATATTATTTAACAATCAAAAAAAGTAGAACTTCATATAAGTAAAAAATTTATTTTCTTTAATATAAATTTTTTCCCATTTCTGTATTGTGAATCTGTTGCCTTAGCTTGAAATCTTTGAGTTAATAGGCAAGCACAATGCAATTATTTGCTCAGGACATTTATATTAGAGTTATATAAAAATAAATGCAAACAGCCATGATTAACCTCTATACTGTTGTGAGTTTCCACAACATTTGAAAGACATGAGAATCTGAGGAAGGTTCTTCAATTACAACGGATGTAAAGTCCTATAGTCCCATACTAAGACCTAAGGTTAAGAAATCTTAGAATCAGAGGATGATGGTTGAATATTCACTAAAATAATATAATAAATATAAATGAACTTTATTTTATGATGATTACTGTATGATTTCCATTTATTGTTGCTCCTGAGATGATGATGGGTAAACTGATAGTGATTATGGTGATTAGGAATAAATAATTTCTTACGGAGAACAGACTTTTGTGAACCATTTTTCACCTCTCATTCATCTTTGTGTTACTAGGACTGTCTTTCATTTCAATTATGCTCTAACTGGCTTGTTGCCTATTAATAATTTTGGCTAGACATCATGATGATCCAGGTTTTTCTGATCATGTTTTTTAGGGTGAAATGGTCATGTAGATGTTCCATGTAGCCATTTAGATGCATGTAGAGAGCCCATCTAACATTATAGCCTCATAGTTCTATGACTTCTGTAAGTTTAAGTTCTTTCCTCTCAACACCAGTTTATACTCATACTCATGCCCACAGCCACACCCAGAACTCTTTCATCACCATAAGCTTTCTAACTGAACTTCCTAACTTCAATAATTCATTGCTTATTTGGTCTACTTCTATCTCCCTTTATTTCTTCCTTTGCCATGTATTACTATATTGCAGTCATATAGTCCCTATTAGCAGTTCACCATTCTCTCAATGCTATGCCCTGCCTCTTTTCCTTTGGACCCTTTCCCCTACTGCATAAATATCCATTCCCCTTGTTTTCCTAGAAAATCCTTATCCATCAAGATTTAATTCTGTGATGCTGTCTCTGAGTTTCCTCCAGGTAGCATGACAAATCCTTCTTGTATATCCCTAGTATTTCTTCTATTTTAATCATTTTTTATTTAATTACTGAATTAACTATCCTTAAAGAAAACATTTCCAAAATGTAGACAACATTGAAAAAAAAAAAACTATACAGGCATACTTTGTTTTATTGCAGTTCGCTTTATTGTGCTTTGAAGATATTGCATTTGTTTTATAGATTGAAGGTTTATAGTAACCCTGTGTTGAATGAGTCTATCTGTGCCATTTTTTCAAAAGCATTTGCTCATTTCATGTCCCTGTGTCACATTTTGATAATTCTTGCAATGTTTCAAACTTTTGTATTATTATATTTGTTGTAGTGATCTTTGATGTTACTATTGTCATTGTTTTGGGGTGCCATGAAACATATCCATATAAGATAGCAAACTTAATTGATAAATGTTGTATGTACACTGATTGCTGCATTGACTAGCCCTTCCCTCATCTCTCACCCTCTTCTTGTGCCTCCCTGTTCCTTGAGACACAACAGGAAATTAGTCCAACATGGCCTCAAAGTATTCAACTGAAAGTAAGAGTCGCAGATCTCTCATTTTAAATCAAATGCTAGAAATGATTAAGTTTATGAGGAAGGCATGTTGAAAGCTAAAATAGGCTAAAAGCTAAGCTTATTGAGCCAAATGGTTAGCCATGTTGTAAATGCAAAGGAAAAGTTTTTTGAAGACATTAAAAGTGCTATTCCAGTGAACACAAGAATGATAAGAAAACAAAACAGCCTTATTGCTGATAAAGATAAAGTTTTAGTTTTTTTAGTGGTCTGGATAGACAATCAAGCCAGCCACAACGTTTGCTTAAGCCAAAGCCTAATCCAGAGGGAGACCCTAACTCTCTTCAATTTTGCGAAGGCTAAGAAAGCTACAGAAGAAAAGTTTGAAGCTGGAAGAAGTTAGTTCATGAAGATTAAGGAAAGTAGCAGTTTCCATAACATAAAAGTACAAATTGAAGCAGCAAGTGCTGATATGGAAGCTGCAGCCAGTTATCTAGATTATCCAGCAAAGATAATTAATAAAGGTAGATATACTAAACAGCAGATTTTCAGTGTGGACAAAAATTTCCTATTTGAAGATGACGCCATTTAGGACTTCCATTGCCTGAATTCAAAGTTTCAAAGGACCGGCTGACTCTCTTGTTAGTGGCTAATATAGCTGGTGACTTTAAGTTGAAGTCAGTGTTCTTTTGCCATTACAAAAATCCTAGGGCCCTTAAGAATTATGTTAAACCTACTCTGCCAGTGCTCTAAATGGAACAACAAAGCCTGGATGATAGCATATCTGTTTATAACATGATTTACTGAATATTTTAAGCCTATTGTTGAGACCCCTTTCTCAGAAAAAAAGATTCCTTTCAAAATATCACTGTTCATTGACAATACCTCTGGTCACTCAAGAGCTCTAACGGAGATTAACGTGGTTTTCACACCTACTAACACAACAATTCATTCTGCAGCCCAAGGATCAAGGAGTCATTTTGATTTCAAATCTTATCATTTTAAGAAATATATTTCATAAAGCAATAACTGCCATAAATAGTGATTGATTCCTCTGATGGATCTAGGCAAAGTAAATTGAAAATCTTCTGGAAAGGATTCGCCATTCTAGATGCCATTAAGATTATTTGTGATTCATGGTAAAAGGTCATATTATCAGGAGAAGAAGTTGATTCCAACCCTCATGGATGACTTTGAAAGGCTAAAGACTTCAGTGGCGAAAATAACCACAGATGTGGTGGAAATAGCAGGAGACAAAAAATTACAAGTGGAACCTAAAAAGGTGACTAAACGGTTGCAATCTTGTAATAAACTTGAACAGATGAAGAATTGCTCCTAATGAATGATCAAAGAAAGTGCTTTCTTGAGATGGAATATACTGCTGTGAAGATTGTTGAAATGACAACAAAAGTTTTAGAATATTACATAAATTAGTTAATAAAGCATTGGCAGGGTTTAAGAAGATTAACTCCAATTTTGATAGAAGTTCTGTGTTAAAAATGCTATCAAACAGCATCATATACAACAGAGAAATTGTTTATAAAAGGAAGAGTCAATAAATAGGGCGAACTTCATTTTAGCATTATTTTAAGAAATTACCACAGCCACTCCAGTCTCCACCAACCACTACCCTCCCTGATCAGTGAGCACTCATCAACATCAAGACAAGACCCTTCACTAGCAAGAAAGATTATAACTGAAGGTTTAGAGGATGGTTAGCATTTTTTAGCAATAGATATTTTTTAATTATGGTTTGTACATTTTTTAGACATAATGCTATTGCATACTTAATAGACTGCAGTACACACGTAAACATCTCTTTTATATGCACTAGGAAACCTAAAAATTTACGTGACTCCCCATACTGTAATATTTATTTATACAAGGTATGCCTATAGTCAGCTTCCTTTTTAGCATATATAAAAATGTGTCAAAATAGAAGATAAGTGGATCCTAGAGAAAGAAGAAGAGTTATATCTTAATAGAACTTGTCTAGAATTGTCCAAGGAAGGGTTAACTTTGGTGACTTTGTTCAAGTAAGAGGAAACTTTTCTTTGGCTCCTCAAAAATAACATCAAGACAAGCTGTCAATAATAAAGCTGAGTTTATTCTCACTATGATAAGGGAGAATGCCACTCAGCTAAATCTTTGTCTCAGAGTAAGAGTCTCAGAAAGGGAAGAGCAAGCTCAGGATACTTATGGGATCTTGAAGTTTAATTTAAAGCAAATCTTTTAATGTGGGAGCTTGTTAGAATTAAATAAGAATCTGATCTTATCGT